GGGGTTGCCATTCTGTATTCTTTGCAGTGGGGCAGGGCTGCTGCTGGAACCCAAGGGGCCTGAAAAGAGGGCTTCTTATCCACTTCCCTCCCATAACCTCCATTTGTGGCCCTTCAACCTTCAGAGGCATTTTTCGTCCATAGTCTGACCTTACCCTGGCAGATGTTCTAGACTTGTTCAACACTAAGGGTGCTGGAGCCCCAAAAGGAGAAAGATACCCCTCCCAAGATCCCATGGAGCATCCTCAGCTCAAGGATCTCAGAATACCTCCTCCCACCCCACCTCACCACTGCTCAGAGACCCTTCCTGACTGCCACTCCTACATCCACACACCCCCAAGCCCTGCTTCTTATCTGGCCCCCTCACCTCGCCATAGCCTGGGCATGCTCCCCCCGCCTCCAATACTCTAAATTCCACTAGGACAGTTTTTTGTTTGTTTGTTTGTTTTTTAAGATTCTATTGGGGAATCGGGGAAGGGAAACAGACAAGTTGCTGTTTTTTTGTTCTTCAGTTTAGTTGTGGAGGACGTTGCTTCACTGGCCTATGTTGGTACTGTGATCATTGCGCTCTTCCTGGCTGAGGCAGATGGGTCGCCGGCCACTGGACGGCCGCTCACGGCAGCTCCCAGCAGCTCACACTGGCTGCCAGCCACTCACGGTAGCTTATGGCAGCCCACTGCAGCCCCACTGCAGCCTATGCCATTGCCGGCGACTCACAGCAGCCCAGCTCCAGGTTGAGCTGTTGTTCACCATCTTAGCTGTAGAGGGCGCAGCATCACTGGCCCTCATGTGGGATCCAAATCGGGGCCCTGCTGCTCAGAGCTGGCGTCCAAAACCAACTCTTAACCAATGCGCCACTCAGCTGGCCTGAGGGCAGCTTTTTTACTCCATGATTAGCACAGTGCTCAGTTAAATATATGTGGAATGAATGAATGTATGAATAAATGAAGGAAAAGGCCTCCTGCCCTCTCCAATCTGGCTGACTCCTGCTCAGCCATCAGGTCTGTGGAGAACCTGGGAAACCCCCACCCTCTGACTGTGTGGGGACTGTCCTGTCTGCCCCCTGTAGGGTGGCACTGGCTGCACTGGAATGACTTGTTGCCTTGGCTGTCTGCACGTAGACTGGGGACTCCCTGAAGGCAGGGCCTGGTTGGACACCTCGTCTGAGGTGTCCCATGCCTGCCACCATGCCCACTGCATAAATAGTACTTATGGAGCAAAGAATAAAAAGTGCTCAGGCTCCCAGTTCCAGTCAGAAGTGGAAGCCTGGGCCACCTGGAAGGGGAAGCAGGTGCTTCCTCATCTGCTGCTGTCACCTTTGCTGTGGAGGCCCTGAAGTCGCAGGTATCTCGGATTTCTTCATTCTTTCCCCACTTTGTTGGAAAAGGACTTGAGGCAGCTGCAGTCCCACATGGCAGGACTGGGAGGGGGCGAGGAGGCCCGAGTCAGGGCCTTTCTGGAGGGCCTCCTGCAAGCACAAGGACTTTCCAGAGAGTTCCTGTTGTCCTGGCCCTGTGGAAGTAGAGTGTTCTACAAATATTTGCAGAAGGGTTTAAAAGACTGTTCCCTCCAACTTGCAATTCACTGTACTAACCTCTGCACCACCCTTATCCTGCTGACACCACAGAATCAGAGGACAGAGGACCTAGTGGCCTTTGATCTTGAGGTTAATGCCCTTGTTTTAGAGAATAGGTATCCAAGGCCCAGAGGTCAAGGACAAACCACCCTGAGGAGGCCCTACATGCTCATTGCTGAAGAGTCACTGCAGCGTATTCACTCAAGAATTCGGCCTAAAGCCCTTGTTCTGGACTTTCCGTCCAGTGTGCCTGGAGCCACCTCCCAGAGGAATCTCAACCTCAGAGCACTAACTCCTAAGACTAGAATGGTCAGCCCACGTTCCTCCTAAATCTCTATGCTCCAGCAGCCTGTTTTCAGCCATTCACACTACCTTGCCCAGCAAGGTATACTCAGAACAGCACACCTATCCCAGCTCTGCCAAGTGGCAGGGCCTGGCTCTCACCTTGGGCCTGCCTGACCCCGAGGCTGGGCTCTTCCTGTTGGGCCTGGCTGTTGCCAGACAGTCACCCCTACAACACAAAGTAGTCAGTGTCAGGGTCAGAAGAGAGAGGCTACTGGTTGGCAGAAGTCACGTTGGAATGGGTAGATCGGCGAGAGGTTCCTAGAAACAGCATTGGATCAGGGCTTTGAAGGCTAGGGAGGATCTGGCAGGAGGAAACAGGAGAGGGCAGCAACGTTGACAGAGGCAAGAAGGTAGAGGTGCATCTGAAGGACAGCATGGAGCTTCTCTTACTAAAATGACCATGTGTGAAGGGGAGGAGCTATATTATAGGGCACAAGGGATGCTGGGACGAGATGAGGGTAGGCCTTGAATGCAAGTCAAGGAACTAGTGAGCCACTGCCGATTCTTGAGCAGGGGAGCAACATACCTAGCAAGGATAGAGAATTGTCAGGCAGGGGCTGGGGAATAGAGAAAAGGTAAGGATGGGGACGAGGGACTCTCTCTTAGTAACCAGCTTGGAGGAGTTCACCAGATTATTATTCTAGGATTTATATTATCAGATTAACTAGCTGTTCCATAGTGGACTGAAGATAGAGAAGTTTCAGTGGAGGAAGAAGCAGGTAGCCACGGGACCTGGGAAGGGCAGAATTTACTTAGGCCTTTATTGTGGGTAATGCCAGGTTCCTGGAGGAGTAGTGTGTGGGGGTGGGGGAGGGGGTTGGTTGGAGCTGGGGACTGTTTTCTGCTGGGTGAATGTTTTCCTTGTGCTTTCCCAGGCAGCTTCTGCGTGTAGCTCCCGGGTGAGTCCATGCCTTGGCCCACAGGTATCTGGCAGTTTTTGGCCCAGAAGATAGGAATTTGGGTTCAAGTCCCAACTCTGCATGCGCTCTTACCCTCAGGTTCCTCAATCACCTGACCTTCCCGCCATGGGCTTAAATGAATAGCTAGATCTGAAAGTGCCCTGTAAACTGTCAAGTGTCCAACCAACATAAGGGTTGTTCTATTTTCCTCGGGGTAGGCCCTACACAGAAATGAACATCTTGCCCCTGGAAGGGTCTGAAATAAAGATCTCAGCCACATATCCAGCAAGGAAGGCAGCCATGCCCTGCCCTAAGCCAGAAGCTGATGATTTTTTTAACTAGGGCAAGACTGCTGGGACTGACTGAAAACACTTCACAGAGGTGGGGTGCAGGCTGTCAGCCACAGGGCTGAACCTGTGCCCTACAGAAGGCTTCCATGGTGGAGGCCCCGACAGGTGCAGAGTGAAAGCCTCCCAAGTCTTTAATGGGCCTGCTATAGCTTGCCTCTGCCTTCTACCCCAGAGAGCCTGGGGGTGTTCTGCTTTCTGCTCTCTTAGAGATGTAAGTGTAGAGGTGGGAGGGGAAGCATTCTGGGAGGCAGGGTGCCCACAGGCTTCCGGGCTCAGTTCTGCCTGCGTTAATTCTAGGCAGTAAAGTGAGGGTGTGACTGTGGCAGGTACCAGCAAAACTCTCCAAGGCCTCTTAACGATTTGGGGGGAATGTATGCCTTCTTTGGGCCTAGCTTCCACAGCTGTAAAGTGAGGCGAGCTGCCTGATTCCTGAATGATCTATGTTTATATGTGAATCTCCTTCCCAGGGCTCCCCCAGCACCTGTCTCTGTGCCTGTTGGAGCATTTCTTGCATTCTTTCACCACATATTTATTGAACAGCCCATGTGGAAGATGCTCTGTTGGGAGTAGAGGGCTTGTGGGGATCCAGAGGTGAGTAAAACAGGGCCCTCTGCCTCAGAACCTCATGGTCTAGCAGGGCAGATGCTGCTAAGCAGGGCCACTTCAAGGTTCTGCCAGTCCTCCCTGCCGACTCCTTCTCTCCCCTCCTCTCTAGTTGTAGCCACAATTTCCACCAACCACCAACATTTCACTCATGCCAGTGTGCCACCATGGAATGAATGAATCTCCTTTCCATTTCCTTCCCGCCCCACCTTTTAAGTCCCAGCTCCAATGCAACTCCCTCCATGAAGCCCTTTACAATTCTTTCAGCCCCAAACAAATTGTCCCACTTTTAAACTAGCTCCCAGGGCCTTGCTGCCTCTCCTTGTGACATATATTTTGCTCTTTTATTTTAATTGAATATCTAGGTGACTGTGTCTTATCTTTGGGAGGGCAGGATGGTGTCTGATTCATTTCAGGGTCTCCAGAACAGTGCCTAGTGCCTGACACACAGCAGAAGGAAAGAATGGCCCAAGGCATGTGACAGTGGAGGTAGGATTAGAGTAGAGGGGAGGGGACCATTTAGAGGGGGAGGGCTGTGGAGCCCTGAAAGGAGGAAATGGCCCATTCTATGGGGAAGAGGCTGTGACTGAGGCATGGCAGGGCAGTCAGACTTGCAGCTACACACAAACCCACAACTCTGGTCCCTGGGCTTGAGCAGGGGAGGGGGTGGGGAAGCAGATAAGCTGATAGCAGGCCTGCTTCCATTGGGCCTTGATGTTCTTTGTCTTCCTTCATGTCCACCCTGCATCCCCACCCAGAGGCCGAAGCCTGGCCAGGCAGGCAGCAAAGGGAGGCTGTGCTGGGCAATCTAGGGAGTGGTCACAGAGCAGAACCCTGTGCTAGGCACTGCTTTGAGTGAATTACATACATTAGCTCACTTTATCCTGCGGGGACCTGACTCCCCACAGCGGCACAAGCAAGCTCCCTACTGGAGCTTTTGGCGGGGAGAGGTCCTGTGCTATGGGGGCCTGGTCTTACAAGAGCTCATTAGATAGTACCTAGATGGGGAAACTGAGACTCAGAGAGCTCAGATGTCTCATCTAAGGTCACACTGTGAGCTAAGAGTAAATTTGGGACTAGAACCCAGATTTCCTGTTCTTTTGATGCCCTCTGGTGTCGGCCTGGGTTGGGCCCTCTTGCTCACCTCCTGCCCTGGTCTCCGACTTCAGGAGGGCAGAGGGGACTCATCAGAGACTCCAGTGCCCCTCCATCTCCTATCACTTGGGTTCTTTAAAGGGCGGGGCTTGGCGGTCAGCCCAGTGGCCGGGGCAAAGGCAGAGACTTTACTTCAGCGGCAGAGAGCGAGTCCAAGCTCCATCAGCTGCCGCAACCACCGCGCCCCAAACACCGAGCCTGAGCCACAATGAGCGGAAGAGTCGGCGACCTGAGCCCCAAGCAGAAGGAGGCGCTGGCCAAGGTGAGCCCTCATCCTGGCCCGGCCCCGACCCCGGCCGGGTTCTGGTCCTCGCCCTCTGGCGGCAGCCAGCCCGGAAGGCGCTGGGTGGGGGGCGAGCGACGGTCCTCGGCGGGCGGGAGGGCTGCAGCGGGAGGAGCAGCCGGCGGCACCTGGCAAACTACATCCCGCCCCTCCTCCCTCCGCCTGCCGATGGGGCCCGGGGAAGTTTAGCCGCCCTGGCCCCAGCCCCAAGCGAGCCCTTTGAGATACCACCTGGGAAGAAGTGGTTGCTGGAAGTCCTTGGAAGCAGCTCAGGGCACAAAGACGACATTCATTCTCGGGACTGGCTGCCGGGCCCTGGGGGCAGGAGCAGGGCCCCCAGGTTTTCTGTCATTTCCGGGAGGTTTTCCTCTTGCAGGGGCAGTGGCACTAGGGAAAGGGCCCTGGAGAGCTCCTTAGGAGACTTCGGTAGCCCCTGCTCTGGTCCCAACTCGATCTGCGACCTTGGGCAAAACCGGTCCTTCATCTGTTTGTTCCTTGAGGAACAGAAATGAGGAGGTTGGACCAGATGATGTGGAAAGGAGCACCTCCCTGTGTGAAGTCTGGGATACTACCCGTGACTCTGTGGTTGGGGTTGGTTTAAGCTGAGGCCAGCCCTCCCCTGTCCTGTAATCCAGGCCCCTCCATGGCTGGGGAATTGGGCTGATGCTCTTCAGATTAGGAGGTAAGCCTGGCTTTGCCTTGGCACCTGGGCAGAGGAGGAGGCAACAGTTCCAGGGCTGGACGCCCACCCTGCAACCTAAATCTCTTCTCTGTTGCTCTTGGGGAGAGGGTAGATTGATTGTTCTCGGAGCCAAAGCCAATTGGGTCCAGTCTCAAGGACTGGAGCCTCCACAGCGAAGCAGTTTTCCATTGCTGGGAAAGAACAGGGGAGAGATGTCTTCTGCCATGACAGAGGCCCAGGCACCAGCCCTATGAAAGCTCTGCCCAGGCTGGGCCTCCCCCATCTCAGGGAGGCTGGATGGGGAGGTTTTAGATTTTACTGCTGACCTGCAGGGAAGTCAGGCACAGAGGGATTGGGTAGTGATTAAACTGGAAACCAGGGGCTGGGAGGGTCCTTGGTAAGGGGTGGCTTCATGCCTGGGCCCTGGATTGAGCAATTTACCTGGGAGTCTGGGAGCTGTTTGCGGGATGGGATGGCCTGAGTTCCTGGCTGACCTAGGCAAGGGGCAGAGGTGGCTGGTCCTCATTGGTCCCCTCTGCAGCTCCCCTGTAGGTCAGTGACTAGGGAAACGTGAGTGGCTGGGAACAGGAGGCATGGGGAGGGCATGGGCAGCGAGTGTGCTCACTTACAGAGTAGTGAACAGTTGGAAGTAGGTGCGGCTATCCAGCGAGGTCACTGTCCATCTTCCTCATTTGGCATTCCGTGCATTTTCCCCCTTCATGGCTCCCCATTGGAACTGTTCCCTCCACCTGGATAGCCTTCCTTCTACTGCCTTTGATGTCCTTCAAGCCCAGATTAAATGCTATTTTTTTTATATGAAGTCATATGAGACCACTTTCTTCCTGGCTCCAGTCAGAATCAAACTCTTCCTTCCCTTTACTCTGCTAAACACATTGCTCACCCTTCCATTTCTAAGGGGGCAGAAGATCATGAAAGAGTGTGTGTTCTAGCCTTGGAAAAGACCCGGGTTTGTATCCCAGCTCTGCTGATTATTCGCTGTTTGATCTTGGGCATGTTATTTAGCCTCTCAGAGCTCTAATTTCTTCACCTGTAAAATGGGGACAGTAATAGTTCTCGGGACTCTGAATGAGGTGGGAATAAGATAAGTGCCAAGTTCAGTGCTGGGCACATGCGGAATTCTTGGTAAACTGACATCTTTTACCATGGCACGTCCCAGAATGTCTACAATCACAGTTAACTGAGAACATGTCTGCCCACCAGCCACACTGGAGTGTGGAGGTGCAGGCAGCCAGGCACTGGCAGTGCTTTAATCCCTTCCCACCGCCTCCTACTACCTGACTCCCACTAGCACGACAGGCAGAGTGTCCCATGTAGCCCAAGTGCCCAGCCAGTGTCTGCAGAGTTGACCCATATGGAAGAGGGGTCCAGCGAAGCCCCTAAGGAGAGTCCTGGGCAGGGGTGGTCAGGTTGGGACCTGTCCCTCACCAAGCTGCTTCTCCCTACAGTTTCGGGAGAAGGTCGAGGATGTGCTGCCCACCCTGCCGAATCCAGATGACCATTATCTCCTGCGCTGGCTCCGAGGTGAGGGAAGAAAGGCTGAGGGAGGCTGTGGCAGGGGCTTGTTCTGGGTAACAGAATGGCACCCTCTGGAAACCTTGGCCCTGGCAATCTGAGAATCTAGAGTATTCAACCTTTAGAACCCAAAGGGCCCTTGGCAATGATATAACCTCAACCCCCCTACTGGATAGATGATGCCAAGGCTTGGAGAGGTGAAGTAACTTGCCCCAAGTCACACAAGTGCTTGAGCTGCAGGCAGGCTGAGGACGAGAGCCCAGTGTCCTTTCCATCCACTCTGTTGATGGACTTGGGGAACAGTTTGAGGAAAAGCTGAGAAAGGCCCCAGCCATGTGGGAAGTCAGAGGCACAGCCAAGTTTAGAACCAGAATCCTGGCTCTTGGAAGAGGTTGGGCCCCTCTGTGGCCTGTTGGGATGGCAAGGCACCTGCTGCCAGCAGTTTGACAGCTTGAAGGAGGGGCAGAGTACATGGAGAACATGGGGGTGCTCAGCCTGAACTAGGTTGACAAGACTCCCCTCAATCCACCACCAGATTCCAGAGCCCCAAGTTCTGGTTCTAGCGCTGCCCCAGCTTGGCTGTAGTACCTGGGCCAGGGGTGAACATCTGCCCTAGGACCTTCACTGGGAGAGCAGGATGAGACAGGGTGCCCTGCCTACTGCAAGATGTGACATGACAGAGCTCTGCACATGGGGAGGCAATGTACAGATTTCTATTAGCATCAGGGTCAAACTCAACCCCATGCTCCAACTCCTGAAATCTTTCCATTCTTTTCCCTTTTCCCCTCTCCTGTGTTTCAAGTCACATGCCACCCTCTCTGGTTCTTGTGACATACTTTTTTTTTCTTTATAGAAATTTTATCACCAGACAGAGAAATGATAGAGAATAAATTCCACTTTCTGAGATTAGCAGAGATTAAGTTGTGATGTGGCATCATAGTTCAAAAATTAAAGTACAGATCGTGCCTGATTATTTATTTGTAGATATACACAAGGAGTCTTGGGGCAGGCGGAGAGCTGGATTTTCATTTTTTGTGCAGAAACTGAATACAGCTGGCATGCTCTGAGGGACAGCTAGCAGGTACCAAGAGCAGGTGCAACCAGGAGAGCCACATGAGGCTCTGTGGGCCTCTAGATGTGCCAATTTCCCTTTTCCCTAGAAAAGCTGCAAACCCACGCTCCCAGCACACCCAGATAGGGTGGAGGGGCAGTGCTGGGGTGGCAGTGGCGTCAGTCCAGGGTTGGAGGATATTTTGGCCCAGCAGTTTGCCGAAGGGCTATAGCTAGAAGGGGGCAGGTGGAGAAAGTAGGAATCCAGGGCTGCCTTAAAAGACCAGCTGCATGATCATCAAACGAACTACCAAACTGCTGTGAGGTGGAGAAGTGTGGTTTCAGAGATCTGTGAACAACAGCACAGCTGTCTTTTTTCTAAGAGGAGGCCAGCTTGGGACCCTGCAACTGGTTTCCCAGGCACCCTCCCCCCCCCCAACTCTCCAGTCCTGGGATAACCCCTCTCTTTGCAGGAACATTGAAGAGTGTCATTATCCTCATTTGCCAGATGAGAAAACTGAGGCTCAGAGAGGGGAGGGCACTTACCTGAAGGCACACAGCTAATGTGAAGCAGAATCAGGGCAGAAACCTAGGGCCCCAGATCCCTGGGCCAGCATCCTCTCCAGTAAGCCACAGCTGTTCCCTGAAGCCAAGCTGTGCCATTTCAGAGGAAGTGTCTCCACTTTACTTGTGCCTGGGCAGGAGCTTCGGCCAGGTCAGATTCTACTATGAATTTCAGTTAGGGCTTTTGTTGTTGTTGTTATTATTATTATTATTAAGAAACATTTTCTCTTGCTCCCTTTGGTTCTAAAGGAAACATCTGCAAGGTGCACACCAGCAGAATATCTTTCTTTAACCTAGGTGTGAGCTGTGGTTCTACTCTTTCTCCTTTACCCCTGGGTGGGCTCAGTTTTCCATTGGCCCCAGGCCCTGAGAACAGGCCCACAAATCTCCACTGCCTCTCTCTGACTTTGGCTGAGCTCTGGGCACTCCAGCAAGGAGGGTCAGATGGCAAGAGAAAAACAAGGAGGTGGTGGTGGAAACCCTACAGAGGGCAGAGCAGGTCTGTGTCTTCCCATTTCCCAGGCCTAGGAAGTGATCAAATAAGAACCCCGGAGAGGTGCTCCTAGGTGGGCTTCTCCGGCAGTGCCCTAAGCCATGCTTTGAGCTGCCCCCGACCAGGGCAGCAGGAGCGCTGGAAAGGCCTGACTCAGCAGGCACGGGGAGAGACCAGTCCAGGTGCTTCCAGGGACAAGTGGCAACACAGGGAGGGCCCTTAAAGAAGACCCTGGATGTTGGACCCTGGCAGATAAGGGTTAACTGGAGAGCCACCCTGAGATAAGGGGGCTCACAGTTCACCGCCACTCCTGTTCCCCAGAAGATAAGGTCTCTCCTCACAATTAGAGGTGTCCCTCCTGTGGAGAATTGCCACTTTCCCAGTCCAGCGGGGCTCCCCCATCACAACAACATACATATTGCCTTGCATCTTCCACGCGGCCATGATGGCACATAAAAGGGCAGTCAGAAGGAACTTCCTAAGAATGAAGGCTTATTCAGTTCTGCAAATGTGTGTCTGGCTCCGATGACTGGTGTGGCATTGCTCAAATCTCTTGATGCACCAAGGTTGCATCAAGAGTGGACTGAATTTCATGATAGCAGAGCCAGGCAATGTGCTTGGCCACTCCTGGGGAGCAGCGATTAAGGGACTGGTGACAGTCGAGAGGGCAATCTATCTGGTCCAGTTCTCATGGTTGTCAAGCAGATCTTGATGTCAATCAAATCCACAGAGGACACAGAGCTGGGAGGGACAGTTCATAGGTCAGGTGGCAAAACTGGTTAGAATCTGGATCTAAAAATCTCTTTAAAGGATGAAATGAAGCTGACTATAACAAGATGAAATCTGATAGGGATGAAGCCAGGAAAACCACCTCACAACATATGGGATGGAAGCTTAGCAGCAGAACCGCTGAAAAGCATTTAGGGGTTTCAGTTGACTCCAAGTGCCACCTGAGTTCAGGATGTGACCATTGCCAAGAAAGTTCTTAGGCTTTATTGGAGAAGGGTAGACAACACCTGGTGCTGTGCTCAGCTGGGGACAACACCCTTGAAGAGGGGCAATGGCAAACTGGAAAACATCCAAAGGGAACTTATTTGGGTGAACTTGAAACCAAGCTGTGAGGAATGGTGAAAGGATCCACAGATGAGCAGCATGATAGCAGGAGGGACTCAGGTGGAAGCACAGAATTTGCCAGTATTGGAAAGGTTGTCACATGGCTGAGGTCGCAACCAAACTCTCTGAGTGTCTCTGGAGTGGATCTCCACTCAGTATAACAATGAGGACTGAGTGCAAATGAAAACTCAGGTTATCTAGGAGCAGGTGGCTTTGGGGGGCAGTGAGATCTTTGTGTTCAAGTTTGAGTCAGACAACTTGTTGGGGTTCATGCATAAAATAGAGTTAGCCCAGGTGAACTTTAATTCTGAAACTTTCCAGGAACCCTGGGAGGAGGGCCCTCTATCCCATTGGGGTATTCGTGGGTCCTTTGAGGACATGGCAATGTTGACTGGAAGCTGATCAACCCCCCACCCCCATCCTACTGGGATGTTTTGACAGCTTTGCCCCGGATTACGGAGCAGCTATGTTCATCTCTGAACTGTGGGTCAAATTCTCAGGACTGGGTATTAGACTGTGGAAGAGATTAACTTTGTGTAAGGGAAGGCTAAATGATAAGGGAGTCCAGGGTTCGTTTTCCCTGAGAGGAGATAAGACCCTTCACCTGATTGCATCCACAAAGGTAAAACTCTTTGACCCTGAAGTTGCAATGCAGCCCCCACCTGCCCTGAACCTTGACCTGCTTTCCAGGGGCTGTGGTCCACCAGAGGCCTTCAGAGAAGGTCCTCATATTAGCTTCTGCACGTGGGGTGATCTGAAAGTTTACTGGGGCATTGACAGAGAGGAGCTGGCTCCAGTATGAGAATAGGGAAATCTCCTTGTCCTTGGTTGCCCGGTCTGCTAGCCTAACCCTGACCAAATTTTGCTGTTACAGCAAGAAGCTTCGACTTGCAGAAGTCCGAGGCCATGCTCCGGAAGGTAAGATCCATTTGCCTCCAAACCCCATGGTTGCCTTCTATCCTTACCAGTCAGAATCACACCATGCTTGAACTTCTTTTGTCCATGACTTGTGTGACATATCTGAGTGTTAGCCAACCATTACTGCCTTAGTGCTTTCTCTTCCCTGGAAACACAGAACTTTCACAGGTCCGGGCCAGCCAAGAATTACTTCTGCCGAGACCTCTAAAATAGGCAGCGCCTTCTTTTGCATTCTGCCAGTTGCCTTCTCATGACTTACCTGTGGTCTGGTGGTCTGTTCATGCTGTCACCTATAGCTAGATGCCTCTTAAGGGGCCCTCCCTGTCCTGCCTTCCCTTATTAAAGCCCTGATTGTGTATTTGCAGCATGTGGAGTTCCGAAAGCAAAAGGACATTGAAAATGTCATGAGCTGGCAGCCTCCAGAGGTGAGGACAGATGATCCTGGCCCACCCTTCTGTTAGGTTATTAGACCCACAACCTCACAATCTGTGTCCTGGGTCTATGGGAATGGGACTCTCAGAGGGAAGGTCTGACAGTGTCCAGTGGGCCCTAATGGTTCCCAGAATGGATGTCTATAGGCACCCAGGGAGGGGGAGGCTGTGCAGGGAGAGACTGATGAGGCCAGAGGAAAAGGGAAGGTGTGGCCACCCTGGGCCTGCTGACCAGGTGCCTTCTCTGTGTCTTTGCCCAGGTGGTCCAACTGTATCTATCAGGGGGCATGTGTGGCTACGACAGGGATGGCTCTCCCATCTGGTATGATATTGTTGGACCTCTGGATGCCAGAGGTCTGATCCTCTCAGCCACCAAACAGGACTTGCTGAAGACCAAGATGCGGGACTGTGAGCTGCTTGTGCAGGAGTGTAACCGCCAGTCCGAAAAGGCGAGTGGACTAGCATGGTTAGAAATGAGTGAATCATGGTAGGGGTGCGCAAGCAGAGGCGACATCACACAGGGACTTGAGCACATCTTCAGGGCTGAAGCCTGGATATTTGGATTTCATAGACCAGTGAAATTTCCAAGTTTTAGGGACTGACCTATGTTGCCAAATTTTTAATTTTCCAAGTAAGAGCTTAAAAAAAAAATTGCCAGCTACTATTACTATCATTAACCCCCAAAACTATAGGAATGGCAAAATCTCAGAATAGAGGGCAGTCTTTTAAATGGAATAAATTTATCTTCCCAGAGAACTTACCACATATTGTTATTTTTCTCATTTATTTGGGCAGCAGTGAGATCTTTGTCATGGATCACCCTATCCTGAGAAATATTTGGGTGTCACTGAAATGGATGAGCTCAGATTCTGTGTTTCTCTAACTCAGTATTTAAAAAAAAAATGATAAGGACAGCTGATTTCCTTACTGAGAAAAAGGCTGAAGAGCAAGCTGGAGCTGCTGCCATGATCTGTTCTCTTTCCGTCCCCGTTCAGTAGATGTAAACGTCCGATGAAACAATGTGATTCAGTTTGGGGCCATTTCATCCACAGACATTCACTGAGAGCCTCATGTGTACAGAGACCTTGAAGGCTGGGGAGGCAAAGAAGCATTAGATGGGAAGGCACCCTTAGGTTGAACAGACAGCATCTGTGCTCAGGCATGAGATGGGTGGCTGCACAAGGCCCCATGGACAGAGCATTACATGGTGCTGCACACAGAGGAAGAGGGGGCCCACCAGGTCAAACTGCAAAGCAGAAGGGACCTCAGATGGAACCTAGATCCATCCAGTGGTATACTGGATGAGAACATAGAAACCTAGGTAGGAAGGGTGACTTGCCTGGGCCACAGTTCCAGCCTGAGGTGATTACCTCCATTTAGAAAACCCTGGGTACCGCCCTGCCCATATCCGGCTGCAATATGGCACATGACACAATCAGCATTTGCTCCAAACTGGGTGAGTCTCTGGAGCAGGGCAGCCTGCTGTGAATTTCTCCTTCTCTGTCTTCTGCAGTTGGGGAAGAAGGTGGACAGTGTCACCCTGATTTATGACTGTGAGGGGCTTGGCCTTAAGCATCTCTGGAAGCCTGCTGTGGAGACCTATATAGAGGTGAGGCTGCAGGACTGGGGGGGGAGGGGAGGCAGCGTGGAAGGGTCAGAGAATGGGAGAGTGGGCCCCTCTGCTAGGATGCCCTGTGGGATGGGCGAGGCGATGGGGACAGAGCCTAGCCTGGAGGAGGCAGGGCCTCTCATCCTGGCACAGAGGTCTGAGCCCACTAGGCTCAGTGATTTTGTTTCCACAGTTTCTCTGCATGGTTGAGGATAATTATCCTGAAACACTGAAGCGTCTTTTTGTTATTAAAGGTAAGTTGGGAACTCCCTTGTGAGGAAAGAGGGGCTCGAAATGTTACTGGGATAGATTCAGGAGAGTGAAACAGAGTGAGTCAAAGGAAGGGATCTGGGGACCCTTGTCATACACAGACTACATTACAATTCACAAAGTTTTAGGATTTATTACTGCCTTTGAGCCATGCAGCTTGGTGAGACAGGAAGACTATACCCACTTGACTATTCCCACTGTACAGATAGGAAGCTGGAACTCAAAGAGGTGCCCACGCTGAGTCTCACACCCTGGGCTGCCCATGTGGGCTCCATGGCACTAGGGAACATGTGACCTGACACAGAGGGCCGCGGATGACACGGTTAGGGACAGAGTGGTCACTGCTCCCAGTCTCACATCATCTGGTCTCTGTTTCAGCCCCCAAGGTGTTTCCTGTGGCCTATAACCTGGTCAAACCCTTCCTGAGTGAGGAGACCCGTAAGAAGATCATGGTCCTGGGGGGTGAGTAGCCCAGACTCTTCTCAGTTCCACAGGATGGTCTGTGGCCCAAACTGGGAATGGCTTGAGCAGTATGACCACAGCCACGAGGGCAAAGGTTTCCTAGCTGGTTTGGTAGCAGTGGGACTGGGCTAGGGTCTTCCTGTCTATTTTCATAAGAACTCTTTTCCCCAGACACTCTAGAACAGGGGTCAGCAAACTGCAGCTCACGAGCCACATGTGGCTCTTTGGGTACGTTCCGTCTCAAAAGTTTGCCGACCCCTGGAAGAGCCAATCCTGTCCCTCACAACAATTTAAAAATTATTCGAGAGCCATAAAACAAATGAAATCACCATTATGTGAATAATATCCTTTAAAATTTTTATAAATGGAACTATGATAGTTTTATTTTCATTTTCAATTTTACTTCAGAGCTACATGTACGTACCCAAAGAGCCACATGCGGCTCTTCTGTCTCAAAAGTTTGCCGACCCCTGCTCTAGAAGAAAGCACTGAGCTCAGCATTGTAGCTTCAAAGATGAATGACACGCCAGTCCTTACTCTCAAGGAGTTTACAGTGTAAGCTTCAAGGAGAGAGAAGACCTTTAGGAAGAAAGCTATGATAAAAACTAGAAAAGGTGCTAGAAATAGCCTAGAGGAGGTGCCATGGAGGTCACAGGAGCAGAGGTTGCTTTCAGTTGGGGGCAAATTGAAGTGAGTTTAACTTGATGAGCACTTACTAGGTGCCAAGGCTACAAAGGTGATTTAGACAAGAGTCCCTTGAAGAGTTCTCAGCCTCTTGGGGAAGGGAGACATGGACCCCACTTGACCTAGGGATGAGGTGATGCCTACTTCAGCCAAGAGCTATAGAATGAGTAAGAGGCAGCCAGATGAAGCAAGGCAGCAAAGCTGTACGGGCTTAAGGATCAGCATTGAGCAAAGACCTCATACACCATGGCACCAGCAGTTGTAGAGGGCATGGCAGGATGTGGCAAGGGATGAGGCTGAAGAGGGAGCCAGGAGCAGGTCACAGAGAATCCAGGGCACTAGGCTGAGAAGCTGGGACATGACTCTGCAGGCCACTGGGAACCAGAGGAGAGCTCTGAGCAGGGGAGCACCAGGATCAGATTTTAAATTGAGACACACTATACAGACAAGATCATGAAGGACAGATATCAGTTTGCCCAGTGTGGTTATAGTCCATGAAACAGGTGTTGCAAGCTGGAGCCGAGGCAGTGCCAGTAGGGATAGAGAGGAGAGGATGGATTTAAAAAGGACTCGTTTAGGAAGTAAAATAGCAGAAGTCAATTGACTGGCTGCAGGAAAGGAGGAAGAGGAATCTAGAATGACTCTCTGGTGTCTGGCGTGAATGACAGACTATCGCAGTCACTCTGATGCAATGAATTCAACTGAGGAATATAACTAGAATAATAAGCGTGAAGTTGAGTTTGAAGAGTGTGTGAGATATACAGATGTTGGGGATACTTGAGCCTGAAGCTTGGGTGTGAGTTCCAGCCTGGAGATTTGGGAGTTATCAAATATAGGAGGCAGCTAAGACCTTGAGAGTAGATAAAACTGCCCACAGGAGGACAGAGGCTGAGCCCTGGGGAATATCCGAGCTCAAGGGTGGGCAGGGATTGGGTATGCAAGGAAGTAGGGAGACCATCAGGGGACAAGGGCGGCCATATAGGGAGATGCCAGGAATCAAGCCAGCCGGGGACAGACAGGAATCCATTTTGTTGGAGCATTAAGTGGAGTGGTGGGAGAAAAAGCTAGAAAGGTAGATTGGGGCTAGGTGGATCATGGAAGGCTTGAGGCTTGAGGCCTCGTGAGTTCAACTTGGGGGTGGAGATTCTGAAGGTTTCTGAATGTTGATGTTTAGGCAACACATTGAAAGTGGAAATTTTCCAAATGTATGCTGGTGAATCCTAGGAGTGGAATGAAGCAGTCTGGAAAGTCCAGGACTTCTGGGTTCTCGTCCTCACACTGGCAACAAGTTCTGCTTCTTTTTGCCTCAGTGACTCTCTCTATAAGATGGGAAGAACTGCCCTGGCCTCATTCCAACTCTCCTGCTGAGCTGGGGGAAGAAATTAAAAAATCCAAGCAAAGGCTCTGATGGTTTGGTGTCTCTGCTACCAACCACCATGAGCATGTGACAGTTAGGTTTCCTGGCAGCCGAGCTGTGGAGGAGGTTCAGTCTGTTCTTCCACCCACGCCTGAAACTCTTTCAACCAAGCCTGACTTGGGCTGAGAGGGTACAGGATCTTCAACAGAGGAGGGAAGAAATTCACTCGGGGCTGGTCACTGGAGCTTAGCAGCGCAGATTGAATCGCCCCAAGACCACAGATGCTGCGTTCCAGGAGTTGCATGGTCTCAGGTCCCTGAAACCTGAAGCTGGGAGAGCCTGGACAGTCTCTGTGGGTTTTCAGCCAGCACCAGTGGCAGAGGACACTGGGTTGGACCCTGTGACTTGGAGCCGCTGCCTCTACATGGTTTCTAGAGTCAGAATAGAAAGGTTTCCAGTATCAAAATATTGTACCTGGTTGATATATGTTGAGGAAATTGGAATGGTGGAAACGTGGTTCACAGCATTGGTTGCACTAGAGTCAAACTCTCCTAGTCAAGAAAGGGCTTGGTTATTAAAAAGAGAGAGAGAGAGATTAGGCAACTTAACAGCCTAAAAAACCAGAGTGGAAGGGAAATTGTGGTTGGTTGGGATAAAGCCAAGGGAACCCATTTCAGGGGTCCCTCTAAAGTGATGCATTCATTCAGCAAGTCATGACTGAGCACAACATGTAAGCAAAAGTGGGGGACAAGACCCACGGTCATGCTGTCACACAGCGCAGTCTCGCCAGGACAGATCTTGTTGATTCTGGCCTTCTTGCCTGCCACACGTATTCCCTCTTCATGGACTGCCCTTCCCTCCTTTCTTTGTTCCCTCCTCCCTGCACTTCAAATGTTTATATCACTTTCCTGGGAATGATACCACACTCTCCTATGTGTAGGGCTCTTTTACAGTTTACCACACCCTCTCAAGTACTTGGTTCACTTCACTCCCACCATAACCTGGAGGGGCAGGAGGAACTCAGCTCAGAATGGAGTGGTTTGCCTAAGGCCACTCGGCTGACCACAGACAATGGGGACAGGACCCCAGGTCTCCTGATTCCTGGTCCAGGGCAGGGCAGCCCTCTGGGTGATGGTTCCACCCTGCAGTGCTGTGTGCGCATCACATGCTCCTAATGCCTGTTTTGTGTGCGGGGGTACATGGGGTTTATTTCTGCCTCTTTGTGTAGACTTCCTTGGGCTATGATGAAATTTTGCCTAGTGGTGACCCTTGCTTCTCCTTCCTTACCTCTTCTGCCAGCAAACTGGAAGGAGGTTTTACTGAAATATATCAGTCCTGACCAGGTGCCTGTGGAGTATGGGGGTACCATGACTGACCCTGATGGAAACCCCAAGTGCAAATCCAAGGTATGGGTCACCAGGGGCTGGAGGTAACTGGGGAAACCTGGCTCAAATGCACATTCCAGCTCACTCTGCACTCTGCTTCCAGATTAACTATGGGGGTGAAATCCCCAAGAAGTATTACGTGCGAGACCAACTGAAACAGCAGTATGAGCACAGCGTGCAGATTTCCCGTGGCTCCTCCCACCAAGTGGAGTATGAGATCCTCTTCCCTGGATGTGTTCTCAGGTAGCGCTCTGGATCCTTCCAGGAGAACTGAGCCTTTCAGCTGTAGGTGCTGGTGGGTGGGCTGGTGGCAGGACCCTAGAGAAGGCCCACACAGACAAAATCATGTCTGAATGGGTGGATGTCCTCTGCAGGTGGCAGTTCATGTCAGATGGCGCAGACATTGGTTTTGGGATTTTCCTGAAGACCAAGATGGGGGAGCGGCAGAAGGCAGGGGAGATGACAGAGGTGCTGCCAAACCAGAGGTACAACGCTCACTTGGTGCCTGAGGACGGGTCCCTCACCTGCACTGAACCTGGCATCTGTAAGTATCTCAGTCTCGGCTTAAAGCCCCTGCCCTAGCTGACTACCTATGACATCCCTTTTTCACATGGTTAGAACTATAATAGAAGTGGAGCTTCCTCAGTTCAACCCTCTCCTTGCACAGGTGAGGAAACTTAGGCTAGGGGAGGTGAAATGACTTGCTGAAAGTTACCTAGCTCGTTACCAGCACGGTGGGACTCTGATCGGATCCTACCAGGTACAGGTGAGTCACAGGGCTAGGTGATCACAGGGGTTCAGAATGTCTGCTCTCTGGTCCAGGTCTACCTGGGTCTGTCACTGTGACCAGACATCTCTAGGGAATTCTTCCGCACACATCAGAGAGGCAGAACTGGCTGGGGTGGGACAGGGATCACAGAGTGAGCAGGGTCCTGAAAAGCTCAGCCTCGACCCTTCTCAGCTTCACTCATCTCCAGGTTGATCGAAAAATGGGCACAGAATGGGAACAGAAAGTTTAACCCAAGAGGAGTAAGAATGGCAGAGAGTCATTTGAAAGTGTTTGATTGACCTCATTCATCTTTGCTGTATCGATTAAAACTCCCGTTGACTCAGCAATTCTACTTATGGCAATTTAGCCTACAGAAATATTTACACAGAGACACAAAGTCATAGATACTAGGATGTTTCCAGCAGCCTGGAAACTGGCAATAAACAAAATGACCTTAATAAGGTCTTGTTAAATAAATTATGGTCCATCCACACAATGGGGTACAATATATCCACTAAAGAGAGTAAGTTGATATGTTAGAAGTCTGATACATGTTAAAAAATAAAGTATAAAACATAGCATGTATGGCATACACTCACTTGCGTTAATAAAGTGTACAAAGAAAAGAATTCTGGGGGATCTATGCTACCCTCTAATGGTGCTTATCTCTGGGGTGGTAGGAAGCTTATAGAGGGCTTTCATTTTTTTACACTACAGCAGGTCCTTGAATAATATCATTTTGTCCAATGTTGTTTCATTTTGTTGATGAGAAAAAGAATTGATTCCCAGCCAGGGCCACTGTCTGTGTGGTGTTTGCATAGTCTCCCCACGTGGATTTTCTCTGGGTCCTCTGGTTTCCGCCCACATTTCAAGGATGTGCATGTGAGGTGAACTGGTGTATCTACATTGTCCCAGTATGAATGAGCGTGGGTGTGTGTGTGAGTGTGCCCTGGGATGGAATGGCATCCTGTCCAGGGTGGATTCCAGCCTTGCGTCCTGAGCTGCTGGCTCTGGCCACCTGTGACCCTGAATTGGAATAAGCTGTTTGGAAAAGCATTGTCTTACTTGTTTTTATTCACCTTTCCTAAACGTATGTATAGCTCACAATAATTTCAATGCTTAATATTAGAAGTCTTTTGGGTCTTTATGTAGAAGTTTGGTGATGTGTCTGTGACCAGAAATATGCTGTGGGAACTTAATCCTCGTTTATATCAATTAGCCTGGGGTAAAACCATTTAAATCAATTAGCCTACGGTCATTTTGCTTCAAGTCGCAGAACCTACTGACAACATAAGTGAGGACTTACTGTAATTCTGCAAATACAATTTATTGACAATGACCATATATTACATTTACAAGTAGAAAAACCACAGACACACAAACTCTATCAAATCTCCCATTTATTTTCTGTCAGAGCCAAGGTGCCCGGCGTGGAAAATCAGTGAGAGCCAGGGCTTTATCATCAAGTTGAGTTGGACCTGACTGCTGACTAGTCCTGAAGCAAGTGACTTAGCCTCCCTGAGCGTCAGTTTCCTGATTGCTCCAAAGGGGAACAAATTCTCTACTACCTCATAGGGATAAATGATGATTAAATGTGAACAGGTCTGTGTAGCACTTAGCATGATGCTTGGCATACAGCAAGCACTCAACACACTGTAGCCACTATTATTGTTGTTAGGGCAAGACCTGGGGGAGAAGGGCCATCCTGGAGACGGTGCTGGAGAGGGGGGAAGCCCTGTGCCCCATTTCTACAGCAGCACCGCCAGGAGATCTGAACCAGCCCCATAGATATCTTGGCCTCTGTATTTGTCCACACCATTACACCAACCTCAGATTCTGTGTCCTCCCCCACATCATAGGTGACCTGCAGTCTCTTCCGCCCCCTCCTCACAGATGCTCTGTGGTATGGCTCTCCAGGGAGGAGGAGGATTCTTGTTAGTGAGCAGCCAGGTCTTGGGGGAGAAGGCGTAAACCATGTGCTTCAGCAAGAACAAGGCTTAGCACCAGCCCAGATACTGTCATCCACAGAACATAGAGCATTGTGTTCATATAAGCTTGAATTTCTTTTTTTCAATGGACTGGGAAGCTGAGGTACAGAGAAGGGATCATCTCTCTCACACAGAGTAGCTTGTGTAGACACCAAAAGACAGAAGGCAATAGAGAATCCTAGGATCCTGGCCCAGAATCTCTTGGCTGTAGACTGCCCTAGAGTGATGATCAGGTTCATCCCTGATGTGACAGAGGAGAGTGGAGTCCCAGACCAGGGAAGCAATTTACTCAAGACCGTGCAGCCAGTGGCAGAACCCAACCCGTGTGTGGGCATTGTGCATCACCCCTTTAGAGTATATGAAGGGCACGGCCTGAGAAAGGAACATGAAGCTTTTATCAGGCTTTGGTTTACAAATCCCAAATTTAGTTTAGCTTTTCTTGGATCCATTCCCCGGATGGACCACAGACCTGCCTGCAGGGGCCTGGAGTGAGAGCTGCTTGTTGTCCCGTCCCAGGAGGAGCAGAGACAGGCTGCAGCATACTTGCCCCCTTCCCAGGTGTAAAGACAATGAGGTGGGATCAGCTGTTGTCTGGGCCTCTGGCTCAGGTTAGACCTGTGCTCAGAGAAAACCCAGGGTTAGGTTACAAGCTCACCTGTGTGCAGGGAATGCCCATGGAGAACCAGGCGACCCCCTGCACAATGGAACATAATCACCCAATGAAGAAGTGAACACTCTGTGCCTGCCTCCAATGGCAAGAGCACATTAACCCTCCCCAAGCCACTCTTGTCCGTATCAAGTGTTCTCAGTTACTGAGGAGGAGGAACAAAGTCTGAATTGATTTCACTTTTCTTCCCTCAACTATAATAATATTTCTTGAGGGCCTGAGTCAGGTAGAATACTCTACAGGGGAAGAAAAAGATTCAGAAAAAAAGATCTGGACTTTATCTGCACAATGTGGTCGAGAAGGCCTGAAACACTAAAGGTTAAATAGTACTGCCAGGCAGGGTTGGGGTGAAAAAAGCCGAGTCAGGCACCAGGAATCCTGGTTTCTGAGTTCAGCTTGGCCCCTAACTCTCCGAGTGTTTCGAGTAAGTGTCTCTAAATAACTAGGTTTTGCTTTCCTTCTTCATAAAATGAGGGGTGTGAGCTAGAGCAGGAGATCTTAATCTGGGGTTCATGGACTCCCCAGAGCAGTGATTATAAATCGTAAAAAACCAAACACCTCCCTTTTATAAGTGTCTCATGTCCCCTTTACTATTCAGAAATGAAATTCATAGATAATATAACCCAGACATAGATCATTAAAAAAATCAATATCATCACCTAGCTGGAGAAAGGAAGCTAATATAGAATATATATATATATTTATCAATACATAAACGAGAGGGCATGGTTATACCCATACACCCCCTCTCTTCAGAATGGCACCTTTCCCATTGGGAACCACTGCCCCAGAGGATCCATGACGGGCTCCAGGGGATCTGAGATTGTGTGAAAATTTCATCTGATGATGAAAGCATCAGATTCTCCAGGGGGTCAGTTCAGGAGTTAAAAAGCCCTAGCCTGGAAGATCTCTGGGGGCTCTATGAGTCTGTGAGTACATGATTAGTGTTAAAATGAACCATGCAGTTCATGAACTCCACTCCCCTCGGGCCTGGGTCTCAGAACAGCCCCTTCCTTGTTTTTGAGGGCAGAATATCATGCTAGATAGAGCCATCTCAATCCTGGTGCTTCATCCAAGGAGCTCAAAGACTTCTCCAGCACAACTGACTCTAGTTGCTCAGGGTCTGCCATTCAGGGCAGAGAGGAAGCATTCCTCTTTCCAGAGGGACTATGGGTCCTCTGGGGCAGAGAGAAAAATCAATAACTAATATTAACTTCAATATTAACTTGAAGAATGGTGGTGTGTCTACCCTCAGTGTAAACTGCATTTTTTTTCCAGGGGCAGGAATTAAATACACTGTTTTTTTGTTTTTGTTTTGTTTTGTTTTGCCTGGGAAAAGGGAGAGAAGACCAGGATAGAGAAGGGGTAGAGCTAGTGTTTTTGTTTTCACACTCCGTTCTCTTGAAGGGGTGTTTGACTGAAATGCAACAACTTCTAAAAAAACAAACAAACAAAAAAGGGTTAGCTCCTTGGCCAGAAAGTCTTCTGTCAACTTCATGCCCATTTCTCTTTAAAGGGAAAACCACTCCTAACAGGTCTTGTCTATTATCTTATCAAATATTTTCTATTCCTTTAGAAGCATTACATGTTGGCATAACATTCAGGACATGTACACACATGTATACATTCACAGGAATTATATCATTCAATGTATGGTTGAAGGAATTTTGAAATTTTTTGAAATTTTAAAACTCATCACAGGATGTGAGAAAACTTTCCTTTTAGAATAAGTACATGAGTAGAACCATCAAAGCCAAAAATTTTTTTTACATCTATAGTGACAAAAGTTTTACAAACTATTTACAAATTGTTCTGCAACTTGCTTCTTGAGCTAAGGATACACTGTTTCCCAGTCACTAACCTCTTTCTTTTTATATCTGAACAGTATTTCATCATATGGATGGCAATATAAACACTTTAAGCAATTCTCCTTTGAACATTTGATTTTTCCCAAACTTTTAGTCTTACAAACAGGGATGCAATGAGCATCTTTGTCCATTTATATTTCTATGCGATAAATTTCTAGCTCAAAAAGTTTGCAGTTTACCTTTTGTTAGAAACTGAACAGGGCTGGGCTTTCCAGGGGGCCCAAGTCAGGCAGCAATGCAGAGTGGAGGGAAATTCCAGCTCTATCACTTCTTCACTGTGACAGAGTGACCTCCTTTTTTTATAGGATATGAAACAGGATTAATGCTGAACTCACAGAGTAAATTTTTTTGTTGTTGTTTGCTTTTACTTTTATTAGCATTTATTTGATGTTGAATTTACTCCCAGGCCATAAATTTTTGTTTCTCCAGTTTCTTCTGGGAGATCTTTTTCTTCTGCGCAACCTCCTCTTCTGGTTTAGGAACAATTTGTTCCCTCTCAGTTAGGATCATCTCAATGTGGCAGGGAGAGCTCATGTAGGGGTTGATCCGTCCATGAGCTCTGTAAGTTCTGCACCACATCTTGGGAGCTTTATTTACTTGGATGTGCTCTATGACTAGAGAGTCTACATCTAAACCCTTAAGTTCAGCATTACTCTCTGCGTTTTTAAGCATGTGCAGTAAAAATTCTGCACTCTTTTTGGGCCACCGACCCTGCGTCCAACCCCACTGTTTGGTCTGGGCACACCTCCCAAAGATTTGAACCTCTCGATTTACATGATTTTGTGGGGTTCTCTGGGTCAAGAGACTAGCGAACCATTTTGAGAGGTCACCTCAGGCTGCTTTCGGAAAGAGCTCATAGAGTTATTTTGAGGAATAGTAAAACATATATATATATATATGAAACCAACCCAGTGCTGAGACACATATTATAAATAGCCATTGTTACCATTACTATTATTATTTTAACAACTACTGCAGCTATGAATTCTAATGCCCCTTTTTCAAGGCTCAGTTCAAGCTCTAACTTCTCTAAAAAGGCTTTCACGTGATATCAGTCTGTAGGGCCCCCTCTTTCCAAACTGTTACAAATGTGGATGTCTCTCTCACTTTTCTGGCACTTGGCATGTTCTGTCATATTTTTTTCTATGAACATCTTGTCAATGCAGCTAGACTCAGTTGCAGGTGGTGAAGGACCATTGCTCATACCACCTTCATCCTTATTACCTATCACATTGCCTTGCTCAGTCAACAAAAATCACTGTCCCCAAGCCCTTTGTCAGAATTGTCTGAATGTCTGGTTTTCTGCCTCCCCTCAGATGTCCTGCGGTTTGACAACACCTACAGCTTCATTCATGCCAAGAAAGTCAGTTTCACTGTGGAGGTCCTGCTTCCTGACAAAGCTTCAGAAGAGAAGATAATACAGCTGGGGTCAGCCACCCCAAACTAACACCTCCTCCCACAGCAGGCCTGGCTCCCTGTGTCTCCGTCAGTTTCTATCCCTTGTAGCAGTCATTTTCCAGCACCCTGACACCCAAAGAAACTGAGAATTAGGAAGAGGGAGGGTAGCAGGAGTGGGTCTCCTTGCCTTTTAAGTTACTAAGGAGTCCCCAGGGCTGGGCACCGTAACAGGATCTATTTGTCCTGTAAGCTGTGCCATTATCTACTTGTGACAGCTGAGATAGGAAAGGGTTACCTAGGGTAGCAGCAGGGAAGAAATTAAGAAAAAGGGGAGAGATTGAGACTTAATACTTAGGGAAGCCAGCAGCAGGGGAGGAACTTGCAGCCAAATGAACGTGTAAGCCTAGATCATAATAAGGAGTAGCGAGGTAGCCAGTTGCTAGAGTTATGGTGGGGGTCAGAGGCTCTTCTAAACTTTCTATCACTGAGGATGGGATCTTTTGGCTTTCCTTGGGTCTTAGGAGGTGGCCAAGAGTCAACATAGATCTTCCCACTCAACGGTAGACAGGCAGGCCTTTCCATCACCTTGAGAGATTCAGCAACTCCTAGGCCCACTGGCTGCCTCTTTAATTACTGATGATTGTCATTGATTCAGAGCTTCCTGGGACAGTGAGCTTTGGTACCCAGCCACTGTCCTCCAATGCAAACAAAGCACAGGAAAATTACCTCCATGGATCCCCAGCTCTGGGAAGGGCAGCTGGGGGTGGGGGTGAGTCCTGACGCTTCCACTGCCCTTTACACTGTCCTAGCCTCCGGTCAACTAACTCTCCATTTGAGCACCCTACACAAAAATGACAAGTGGGATCCAGACAGAACTCAGTGAGAGCATTTGCGAGTCTGAGTCTCCCACGGTGCCTGCCAACTCGCTTCCTGATTGACCTGAACAAGTCCTTGGCAGTTCCATCTCTGTGGGAAGCATACGGTGGGTGGCATGGGTTCCTAGTGGTTGGTGGAAGCTGCCCAGGCAGGGGGCCAAAGGCCAGGCCAGCATCTGGCAGAGCCAAGGGCTGGAGGCAGCCACAAATAGCATCGGCCCCTCCATCCACGGTGATAAGCAGGATAGCCATAGATTGTCATGGGGGCTCTCACAGGCCAGGAGCTGGAGAGCATGGACCCTGCGGGCAACCACAGCCCTTGTTCCAACCCCACGTCCTGCAAACGCACACCACATCGTGGGCTGCACAGACCATGGGAAGGCGGCCCAGCCTGGAGCTGGTCTGGCGAAGCTGAAAGAACTGGAGGAGAGACAGGGCTGGCGCCGACCTGAGGGGGCCCTAAGGCCTCAAGGGCCCCGGCCAGAACCCTCAGGAGGACATCCCGACTTTGGTTTACAACGCTCTGTTAGAAAAATTAACCAATGAATAAAGCAACGTTCGGTGCACAGGGAGTGGAAGTCATTGCCTACCGCCTCGCTTCTCATTGCCCATCACTCCAAACCTCTGCCTCATGAGCCTGGCAACACTTAACAGCGGGGCGCATGCACAGAAACCACCCGCTACGTACCTCTGGCGTGCGCTTTCCCAGGGGGCGCAACGGCCAGCTTGCCTCCTGATTGGTCCAGCTGGTGGGCTGTCTTCCGCCATCTTTGCTAAGGGTACTTCTGGTCGCCTTCACAGTCAGGGCGGAGGCTCCGCCCACTCGGGCTTCTCTGTGAATGCAGGGTGTCTCTTGCTCGCTGACACGTGCGGGTTTGGCGAGCGCGCGCAGCGCCCGCAGTGGGCCCTGAGTGGGAGGGAGGCGGGGAAGAGACGATCACGTGATGTTAGGGACTGTCTCCTAATTCCGTGCCCGTATTGCCAATGTTTCAGGGGCTTTGAGCCCGGAGCCCAGCTTCCTACGAGGTCACCGCTGACCCGACTTCCCTTCACGACCCTACAGAGACAGCGACGTCCTCAACGGGGTCCTCAACAGGGAGCCAGTGGTCTTCATTTTTTCCGATTTTTATTTGATGATAATACAAGCTAATTCTTCAATGAGCGCCTGCTGGGTACCACGCAACAACTCTGTGCTTACCGCCTTGTTGCAAATATTCAAGGAAATAATACGTGTAAGGCACTTGGAAGAGAGCCTGGTACAAGTGAGCTGCTAATTTTTGTTTTTTTAACAGATGTGACTAACAGCTAATAGGCGGAACAGCTGCGATTTAAACCCAGAACTGCTTGGCTACGCTCGTCTATAATGGCTGTGTCTTTGCTCGCTGATACCCTCAAAGGATTCACAGAACCTGCACTCGATGCTCACATGAGTAAACTGAGGTCCAGCAGGGGAAGAGTTCCCTCTTTAGTAACCATTAACTGCCAAGTCCCCTCATTCTGTTCTGCTCATTTCCCTGAAGTCTTGTACCCCAATTCTGCTTCCCTGGATTCATTTATTCATTCATTAATTCATTCAAGGTCCTGTCCCCAAGAGGCTCTGTCTAGGGGCATACAGACCCAGTTAGACCTCAGTGCTTCATAGATGAACATGACATCTGCAGGGAACGGACTCTAGGGTCCAAATATCCACCTCACCAGGGTGCTCACCATTCACTCCCCCAGCCTCATTTACCGAGCACATTTATCGATCCCAGCTTCACCACTTAGCCGTTGTATGACCTCGGAAAGTGACCCATGTTCTCTGTGCCTCTATTTCCTCATCTGTAAAATGGGGGTCACAGGTTGGTGGGAGGGTTTAAGGAACTAATCTGTCTAGAATCTTTCTTTAACCCGTAAAGTCTTTAGCTGTTAGCCTTTGGCCAATGGTCCGGTCAGGAGTAAGCGCAATTAACGATGATTTACAATTAATCCTCGTCTTTGGAGTGGACGCTGTCGTGTTCCCCATTTAACAAATGAATGAAGTGGGCCTCCGAGAGTACAGACTCTTACTCGAGGTCACACAGCTAGGAAGTGTAGCATACTCCATTTGAACCCCAGTCTCGACGGCTGCCAAACTACAGTCAGTCCTGGGAGAGGATCGTGCCAACACTGCTCAGCCGATGAGAAAACGTGAAGAAAATTCATCTGTAAAACCTAAGCCTGGGTAGGGGCTTCGGTGCGCGGAGGAATTTACAGACGCTCCCTGCTGGCGGGGACAGCACGACCTGTCCTTCAGTCTGGGACCTTGAATCGGTCCCGCTGCTTTGGACTGGAGCGATAGTGGAAGCTGAGGCGGCAGCGGTGGCAGCACAGGCTGCAGTGACCGGGGCGGTGGCGGAAGCGCTATGTCCGAGTCTCTCCCGCGGGGTGCCGAGCGCGACCTTTACCGGGACACGTGGGTGCGGTACCTGGGTGAGAGCGGGGCGAGGGGCACGGCGACTCCCCCCACCACGTAGCTGGGGAAGCAGGGGTCGCCGGACGCCAGTCTGGGTCCTAGAGAAGGTGGGAGGATCTTAGGTCTCATTCTGCCCTGGCCAGAGACAGGGCTCAGAGAGGGCTAGGGACTTGCCCAAGGTCACACAGCTCTGGTTGGCCCAGCTCTGCCCTTGCGGCCCCTGCTGGTCTAATCTCTCAGGTAGAAGCTCCGACCCTGCTAGGAGGAACAGGGTGAGTGGGCTGCCCCCTCCCTGCATGTCTCTGGCACTTGTTGGGTAGCCAGAGCATCTGGACTCCTATCTTACCTCCTCACTGGTTCTGTCTGAGGTTCAGTTTCCTCCTCAGCAAAAAGGGATGAACACAGGGCCTCTCTCATCTGGTGGTAGTTGTAAGGGTAGAATGAGATTAAGGCACAGAAAGGCCTGGCACATGGTGAGTGTCTGGTCAGTGGGGCTGCCCTTGGTCAGTCTCTGTTGCTGCCGGTTCCTCCATTAGCGCATTCTTTTAGAACCAAGACTGGGAAGGCAAGTGAGAGAGTGATAATGGTGACTGTACTCAGCTCACCCACAATGGCCCTAGAGTCAAGGTGGTCATCATGGGTGCCATTTTATAGGCTGGGAAACAGGCTCAGAGAGGTAAAATCACTTGTCCAAGGTCATCCAGCTACTGCTTTGCAGGCTGGGATTGGAGCTAGCTCACTGGAGTGTCCCCTTATGGAGCAGTCCATGGGCCCTGGAATTCAATGTCCCCTCCTAACCAGGCTACGCCAATGAGGTGGGGGAAGCCTTCCGCTCCATGGTGCCAGCAGCTGTGGTGTGGCTGAGCTATGGTGTGTCCAGCTCCTATGTGCTGGCTGATGCCATTGATAAAGGCAAGAAGGCAGGAGAGGTGAGTGTTAGCCTGCCCCCGCAAATCCCCACCCCAGTCTGCTCCCCTTGTGGTTCAGTCCACAGCCTTGCATGTGGTAAAGTCACTATGGTAAAAGCATGTGAGACAGTCCAATCTGCCTAGCGTAGTCCCTACCCCAGTCCTGGATGTGGACGAGTCCACCCCCAGCCCTATATGTGGTACAGTCCAGAACCTAACACTAGTGTGGTCTGTCTCTGTCCCTCACTTCCCTCTCCCTGGTCCAGTCTCATGCCCCTTGTCCACAGGGTTTCCTGCCTCTTTTCCTACCGGTTTAAGTGTTTCCTGTGCCTACCAGGTGCCAAGCCCTGAAGCAGGCCGCAGCACCAGAGTGACCATAGCCGTGGTGGACACCTTCGTGTGGCAGGCTCTGGCCTCTGTGGCCATCCCAGGCTTCACTATCAACCGTATATGTGCTGCCTCTCTCTACGTCCTGGGCACTGCCACCCGCTGGCCTCTGGCTGTCCGAAAGTGGACTACCACCGCAGTGGGACTGTTGGCCATCCCTGCCATCATCCACCCCATTGACAGGTGGGTGCTGCTCCCAGCCTCAGGGATCATCCACTCTGCTGGTGGAGATATGCCTTGAGGTGGGGGGTATACCCGCTTTGCACAGAGTAGCAGAGGCAGCGCTGGCACTCAGGGCTCCAGAGGTAGAAACGTAGCCTATGCCTTTGTCATATGATCTGGCAGGTACTTTGGCTGTAAAGGTAGGGGGTGCCTGGAGGGTATGGGACACAGGACAAGTAAATTCCCAGAAAAAAGATAAACAAACACAAAAAGCCTTAGTGTTACAAAACAAGCAGAGGCAAGCAGGAACAGGTGCACCCTGGAGGAGATAGGTTTGTGGAGGTTTTGGTGACAGAAGCCCAACTAAAATTGGATTAAGTAGGAATTGTTTCGTGAAACTGAAAAATCCAGTTATGCTATTTTCAGGCATGGCTGGATCTAGGGGTCTGGGTCTTCCCATCCTGCCACCCTTTCCTGACCCCATGTTGGCTTCACTCACTTTTCCCTTGTGGGAGCAGAGATAGCCCCCAGCAGCTCCCAGCTTCCACCAGCTTAACAGGCCCCATAGTAATCTTAACAGTGACAGCAAAAATCCAAAGGAAGGCTGCCATTGGTCCATCCTGTCATTGGCCATTGGGCCCAGGGGTGCCCACCCCTGAGCCATTTCCCCTTTACTGATTTGCCAAGCTTGGGTAATATGCCTACTCTTAGAACCAGAGATGGGGCCAGACCAACATAGAGTGGGAAGAGGAGTCTTTCCTCAAGGGAACATAGCTGACCCAAGGCCCTGAGTGAGTCTTTTACCCTCTCTGTGCCTCAGTTTCCCCAACTGAATAAAGAAGAGGGTGATGGCTGCCACTTGGATGGCACTCGTGCCATGTATCTGGGAGTGTCTTCCCTAGCCCTGACCTTTTGACTCCCATCCCCCCATTAGCACCCCTTGGTCACCTGCTCATCACCCTCCACTGCCCCACAGGTCGGTGGACTTCCTCCTCGACTCCAGCCTGCGCAAGCTCTACCCCTCAGTGCAAAAACCCAGCTCCTCCTGACCCCACTCTGGTACCTGGCCTGGGTGTTGGCCCACTCCCTGCTCTGTTCCAGTTGCCTCTTCCTGCCGGGGGATACGATGCCTGGCTCCCTGGGGTCTGAAGCCCTGGCACCTGAGTGGGTTTGAGCTGGATGGAAACTGGGAGACAACAGCTTCAAGGAGCAGCAGCCACAGCGACTCGCAGACAGGGGCAGGACCTGAGCCCTGTCTACCTCCGTGGAACTTGTGATACCAAGTGGAAGTGGACCCTGGGTGGGCCCAGCTCTATCTTTTGACAGTAAAGTAGCATCCTCCTATGGAGGATAAGGAGACTGAGGCCCACAGAGGGCAAGGAGTATGGCCAAGGTCACGTAGCAGGCTGGGGACCCAGGATTCCCAGTGGCTGGGCCATTACCTCATGGCAGCATGGCTGGGCGGAGGAGCAGGAGGCACTGGGAGAAATGCAGGAGTGCAGTAGTGGGGACCCTGAGGGCTGATTCTCTGGCCAGCCTGTCCCTGGGGCAGGGGCTGCTGGGGCCTGGCTGGAAGGCAGGACAGCCCCAATCCAATAAATCCTTAAGAAATTGCATTTTTTTTCCTCTTTTTCTGTTGGGAATGAGCAGGGATGTAGTGGTGGAGAGCAGGGTGCCTCAGAGGTGGAGGCTGACTCCTCGGGCCAGGCATCACTCACAGTGCCCAGCACCGAGCCTGTCTGGTCCCTCTCAGCCCACCAGCACTCCCCCACAGATGCCTGGGAGTCCACCCTTGGTGCGGCAGCTTCCTAAGGCATTGCCCTCTTTCTGCAAGCCTAAAGCACCCACACCTCTGGTAGGGAAGCCTGTTGGGCAGATACCACCTGAAATTGCCTGAGATGAAAACAGCACCCACATGAGTATCACATTGGACTCCCATTAGGGGATTCAGGGGTCTTGAAGAAAAGGGAGTGATCCAGGGGCTGTCCCCCACCCCACTTACCTGCCTCTCTCCCTGCACCCCCGCCTGAAGGTGTGACCTGAGCAAAAGCAGGACTTGCACCCTCACACGCAGCCCTACCCCAAGCCACAAATCAGGGCTACGACCATGTGGCCCCACCTTCACAGCTCAGGTGCAGCCCACTGGGCTAACCTAGTCCCCTAAGAGACCACCTGACCCTGGGAGAGGACTTATAGGGGCTGGGGGCCATGTAGGACTGTTGGTTAGATAGGATGGGGGCTCTGGGGTTGTGGCTCCTCCTGTTCTTGGGGTGTCTGCAGTTGCTGGGTGAGTCTGGTGGCCTGCCCCAGAGCTGGGGTCGCTGAAGGGGCAGGGTGGGTCTTTCTCTGCCCCCTTTCTCATCCTGCACTGGTAGGTTCCCTTTCCCATGCCCCCCATGACCTCTGCTCAGTTTCCTGCTGCTCCCCCAGCTCCCTTAAATGCTTTGAGCCCCCTTACTTCCCAGCCCTCTCTCTGCCTCCTCCCACACTCCTGTCTACTCCAGCACCATCTCCCCCCAGGGCAACACCCACACCTGCATCCCTATGACATCTGGGCTCTGCTGCCAATTGTTGCTCACTTCTCTCCACATTATACCCTTTGGGCTCCCCCTAAAGCTGGGAGCTATCCAGGCCAGAGTCAGGCTTCTGTGCTCTTGGGCACAGTCTAAGCTCTCAGCCTTGCCCCAGCCTTGTGTACTTCCCCATTACCTGCCATCAGAGCCCAAGCCCCAACCCCCCTTCCCCATGTTCCTCAGCTGGAAATCCTTTTCCCCTTTGCCAACCCTCAGCTTCCTTCAGAACCTGCCCCAATGTCCCTTCCATTGTTGCCCCTCAGCTTTGTCCTACTATGTCCCCCCCGCCCCGGCCTTGGCTACCCCACTGGTGGCCTTGCTTTATAAAGAGCTGTTGTGGCGCAGGTGTGCAGATGCCTTGCACATAGTAGGTGCTCACACTTGCATGCATTCTCAGGCCAGGCTAGTAGGGATAAGATCTGTGGATGGTCTGTCCGTGGCAGGAAGAAACTCCCTCCACCTGACCCCCAACATGCACACCTTACTCCACTCCCTGCTTTGTTCCAGAGATGCACTGGTTGATGGGGGGTGTTGGGGGGTGCACATTGGGGGAGGCTTCTGGACAGGTTCTAATGGCTATGTCCTCATTGAGGCCATTCTTTGGCTGCACCGGCCTGGGCCAGACTGCCAGGGGATGGTCTTCTGCAGGGATGTAATCAGATGGACATCCTCTCGGCAGTGAGGAGGGAGCCCCAGCTCAATGCCTGCCACCTGTGTCTGGGCACCTGCACGTCCTCCTTGGTCCCTGTCATGCCTGGCTACATGGTTTTTGCCCCATTTAAAGCTTGTGGTTTCATCTGGCTAGTGAGGCTCATGGGGATTGCTAGGAGCTGGGGTACCTGGGAGATTCTGGGGCAAGTGAGGCAGAGCTGGGGTGTCTGAGCTGGAGAAAGGGGTAGAATCAGATCATACTGACTTGCCCCATGGTCTTGGACAAATCACAGCTTCTCTGAACCTCAGCTCCTTTCTCTAAAAGAAGCAGAGGCCTGGGTTGCTACAGAATTGGGTAGGCAAGAGTGTGATATACTCACCATTTGTCATCTGTGTGTTTACATGTGCCCTCGACTGTGTTGTTCCTTGCATCCTCAACAGCCCAATGAAAAGGTAAAACTAACACCCCCATTTTCCAGATAATGAAACAGGTTCACCGAAGGGAATGCCCCATTGTCTAACAACCATTTGCAACTTAGCACATCATCCTCCAAAGCAAAACAGGTTTTTGAGCAAGACAGGGACATTGAACAGGACCTAGACAGGACACAGGCCCAGAAAGGGTGACTGATGATCAGGCTAGAGCCAAGCTGGGGATGTACCTGTTCTGGCTTTCTGCACATCTTAAAGAGCTAGTGTTCCCCCAGATCTCCAGGAAGATTCTTTGCCGACATGGTCTATGCATCCCCACCTAGATACTCAGAGCAGCCCCCCATTGCCACCTTTGGCCATCGAGTCAGCTGTACAGTCAGGTAGTGAGCCTGCCTTGGGCCCTGCCACCTGGAGGTCCCACAGGAGGAAAAAGGATGGGCTGGGTGGGGGCAGCAGGCATTGACCTCATGAGCTCTTCGTTGTGAGCCTGAGACAGAGCTCGGTGTGCTCATCTGGGAGCCTGAATTTGGAGTTCTTTTTTTTTTTTTTTAAAGATTTTTATTGGGGAATTGGGATGGGAACAGACAAGTTGCTGTCCTTTTGTTCTTCAGTCTAGTTGTGGAGGACGTTGCTTCACTGGCCCAAGTTGGCACCATCATTGCACTC